ACTTAAAAACATAACCAAACTCAAACCACAAGAAACAGAAAGAATGAAACATAACTACTAATATTAWATGAATCAACTCAAAGAACTACCAATAAGTGATCAAATACACAAATCCTAACAACTGATGGAGCATTTTCTTCAAACAAGTCGGGGCCAGACCAACCACACATCGTTCAGAAACCCTCTTCTGTTGGGCTGTGAAAGCAGCTTCCCAAACACTTGTTTCCTTTGACCTTTCAGTAACTCTCATTAGTCCTGCTCACATCTAGCAGCAACATGCATCTTATGTAATGTTGTGACAAGTGGACAGCTCCTGGTAGAAGTGTGAGAGCAATCAAGAGGCACTGGAGGACACGTTCACTCAAGTCTGACCACAACTGTCTCAGAGTTCAGCTGAAGCCAGCATCTAACCTGAATATTAAAGCTGGGCATTGTAGTCCTGCTACAGGACCAAGAGTGTAAAAATGGTTGGTGAACACTGTTTCAATCATTTTGCCTKAAAGAAAGGAATATGTCGTAAAATATGAAGTACTTTGCAAAAGTTTCATACAACCCTCTAAATATCAGTTTTATTTCCAAGCAGTCAAATCTTTCTGTAATCTTATTTAATATTTCCTTTTAGTTGTTCAGTTTTCTTTTTCTTAAACTTTGTTTCTTTTTTTGTTTGTTTGTTTGTTTCTCGTTATTTGTTCAGTAATTGTACCTGAAAGTCATTTCACAAGCTTAAAAAATAGGGAAAGTGGACAACAGGAGAAACAAGAAAATGTGTCAGGCCTGAAAATTTATTTACAGTAGATCAGACATGTATGAAGATAAATTAACCTYAAAAGTGTTCACAAATTTATCAACTTATATTATGGAACAAAAGTTATAAATGCTTGGCGTGAAGGCCATGTTTTCCATATTATCAAAGTTAATAAATGCTATAAAACAAGAAGTATTAGTTTGATCAAACGAGTTCAGAGGATCATGAATTAAAACCACTGAACATTTCAAGAAAGTCTGACTCCTTTTGAATCAAAGTATAAAAAATTAAAGTTGCCTCAAGACTTTTGCACAGTGTTGTAATTAGGTAAGAGAAAAACGCTGTGATCACTAAAAATATAAATGTAGACTCATTCTAATCCCGACTAAAAACAACCTAAAAGTGTTAGAAACCTTCATGGTCCCATCATAATTGATTTTTCTTTACAAACTGTTTGTTCAAAGAACTATCTACAACAGGTAGTATATTATTTCTTCATAACCTTTCCTTGGAACCCTACTTCAAAAGGTGTGATCACTTTAATGTCAGGTGAGACAAAGGTCTTTGTCCTTCTTGTCTCATCTCACACAAAGACAGAGAGAATCTTTCTCTAAGAGCTGAACAGTGAGGTCTGCTCCCTCAGGAAGGTTATTTTACACTTCACAGAGCTCCGTCCTTGTTAAATCACTGAATTCACCAGAAACTGGTAGAAAACATTTTGCTGTGTATCAAGTTTGACTTTTATATCAAGTAGTGAAGTGTTGATGTATTTCATGGAGGTATGTGAGGTACAGGGAGAAAGAACGGCAGTAGAAACTTTGATCATTGCTGTAAATCCTTATGTATTTCCTGGATGATCATTTTGGGTAAAAATGGGACATTTTTGAGTGATGAAAGCATTTATAATATGTTCAGTGTGATCTCTTTTTTTACAGCCTGCGCACAGTTTATCATGTGCTTAATCCAGTAGTTATCCATCTTTGGGGCGCACCATCAAACACACTTAAAATACCTCCATGCAACAAGATGGTGAAAACACCCACATTAATGACATCAAAATACAGAAGATAATCTGCAACAGGATCAGGATAAAGAATCAGCCAAAAATATTTATCATATTGTATCATACCTATGTAAAGTGCCAAAATTTGTATTACTGTGTCATTCATTCTTCCACTTGTATAGTGTTGCTTTCTGTAAATCTATTAGTATTTAAAGATGCAGTTTAATAAAGGAGTATTTGTGATAACGCATCACAGTTTTCATCATTTAAATCACATCATCACATAACATAATGTTGCTAAAGGAGCCAGTTCATGGCACCAACACCTCATTTAGAAAGAAAATCAATCCTCAGATGAATGGATGTCATTCAGTTACTGTACACAGAGGCCTCATACATAAATACAGCTCAATCCAGGACTGATGCGTGTTCTGTGCTCAGATCATTCAGAAAAAACAAAGAGGTGGGAAGAGGGGTAAAATGTGCCCACCTCAGTATTAATCAACAAACAGATTCATGACCGAGGGAATATTAAAGATGACGCAAAACAACAACTTTGTAGTTTGTTTTAAAAATATTGAACCACAGGATCGCTAAAATGCGTTGATTCAGTTTTTTTGTTTGATATGATCGAGGCAGATGTCAGTGAGCGACTGCTGGATTAATCAACAGATTTATTTCTGAGGCAATATTAAAGGTGACGCCAAACTGTAACTTCGTTTTTAGTTTAAGAAATATTGAACCACTGGATCGTTAAAGTAAGTTAATTCAGTTTGTTTTGTTTGATGAGACAGATGTCCGTCACACAATGAATATGTCGTGGTCCACTTCAGCCGAGCTGAGATCTGCTCCACGCCTCTTTTGGYTCCGTGCTGCTGGGTTCATTTCTGAACGAGTACATGTGAGCAGGACCTGGTCGGCTTCTCCTGTGGTTTATGAATGAATCGAGGGAGCTTAAAGCCGGTCCGGTCTGTGTAGCGATTTTGCGGACCTGTCTTGAGAAAGAGGCTAAAGTGGTATGTTCACCTAAAGTTATTTGCTAATAAAAACATAGAGATGTGATAACTCAAATGATCCAAATCTTTWCAACGGCTGTTTAAAACAAATGAGGGCATTGAAGAAGCAGACAGTTGAGATTTTTTTTTCCTTTTTGTGGTTTCTTTGAGTTTTTCTCCACAGATGCACACACAAACACACTCAAACTGCCTCCTCCTTTGCTTTTCAGGGACCGGTGATACCCTTGACAAGTCACATCATACAGCTGTGATGACATAGGCTGTACTACTTCAAAGGCTGTACGTGACTGTTTATATTGAACGACTCTTTAAAAGGAATCGGTCCACAAGATTGCGCTCACTTCAAAAACCTGTAAATTAGAGATGGGATGAACAGCTATTTGAAGGGATCCTAGTTTCAAAAAGCTGTTTGTTTCATAGAGTAATTCGATTTTGAACATGTGAGGTCATCGTGTACACCATACCTGATGATTTAATTGCATCCAGTGGGCAGTACCGTGTGTTTTGTCAAGCAGAATCCCCCTCCCCCTGAGTCGCTGTACTCCTTTGCCTTATTTTTCTTTGTCTCAGTGAAAAAGCAAAGGAGGAGCCATCATCCCTGTACAGTTCAGGAAATAACCATAAAAATATTTCAAAAAGTAAAAGAAAAAACTAAACAATGGGTCTTTACTTTCTGCAACTCGGTTCTCATCGCTTGTTGTTAAGAGCCATTCAAAAACTTTGAACATCACATCTGTACAATAAATAATATTTTTTTATAAATACTGCAGTCATATATGACATCTAATGGAATTAAACCGTGGAAAAACGGAGAGTAAAATACAGACAGGTTACCATATCAGCCTTGGTAATGATTGGGAAATGAAAATATCTAATTGTTCTGTGCCACAGACATTCAAAGTTATCAGATTTCTTCAAATCCTAAATGTTTTACCCAACCATCAGTGCCTTTCCTCACAAACTGTGGTCTCATCCCAGCTTCAACTTCCAGGTTTCCTTTGGATGTCTTGTGTTGTCTTGTATTTGGATTAAGGGAAACAGATAAAAATAAAATAAACATTGATGCTTTCCATTTCTAGGACACTAACCAAACTGCTATGTCATTATTTTTAAAAAAGCTTCATTTGTCCTGTCTATATGGAGATACCATGAACAAAGATAAATAAAAAAAAAAACCTTTGGAAAGCATAGATGGAAACTTCCTTTTGGTGTGTTTGACAAGTGCAAATGTGGCAGAAAATCTCAATTTTTAAAGAATATTCTGAGCAGTGTAGGATATCAACTCTGTCCATTTCTGAAGCAAATGTCACTTTGTAATTGGCCGGCAGCGAGCGGCGTGGAGAGCGTCGCTGTTTGGACAGCTGTTAATCTGTAAGAGTTGGTCGCGGCAGAAAGGTTGAAGCGCGGGGTGACAGAAGCAGAGAGGTGGAATCAGGAATGAGTTTGTGAGTGATGTGTGGAGAGAGAGAACGAGCCTGCATGTGGGGTTAAACCCTGACATGAGCCCGGGTCCGTGTCCACATCTGCCCGTGCACCGTGGACCAGGGTTCATGTCTCACCATCACTGCAGTGGGAGCTGGAGTTCAGCAGATAATGGTCAGCTACAGTTTCATTCAAGCCCTTCTACAGATCACAGGAATGTAATGTTTTCTGCCCCTATGTTTCACTCTCTCCTCTTCCTTTCTTCCCTTCTGACACAGACACTCAGTGAAGCACACACAGTACGCAGGGAACCAATCACTGCAGCCTGTTTCCTACTCCTGTTTGTGAATGGGATCCTTACGGGGCGAGCAGGAGAAGTAAGGGGAGGAGGAGAAGGCAGGCGTTGATGCATTTGTGGACGAGCAGATGCTACAGCATAATATCAAATATCTGCAAACACTTCCTCTTTTTTTCTTCATTTCCTCTTTAAAATGCTCTTCAAAACATTTCATTTTCTTCTTTGTCCATCTTCTATAAACTATCTCTGTCATTATGCTGCAGCTTTTTAGGACTGCTGCATTCCATCAGCTTACATTCTTTGCTTTTCGCAGACACATCATCAGCATCCTCAACTGCTGCTCTTTCTTTTTTGTCACACACACACACACACCCTCCATCCCATCAGCTCACTTTTTCATCTGCTGCAGACAATCCTTCCTTTTTCCCCTCCGCACCATCACACCTGTGTCCTCAATCAAGTGCCAGTGCAGGTAAGGTGACTAACCAACACACATGAACTCAGAGACACTCTTACCTTCTGTTTGTAGGTCTCTGTCCGGAGCTCCTCTGAATCGTCAGTGGATGGAGAGAGAGAGAGAGAGAGAGAGAGCGACGAGCTTGAGAGCTTCTGGCAGCTGAAGAGAAGTGAAGGATGGAGAGAAAGAGATAGAAAGGGTGGGAAAGAGAGATAAGGGACAGAAGAGAGAGGGAGAAACGTGGACTAGAGCAGGCAGGCTGAATGATCCAAGAGGAGGAGGAGGAGGGCGCTCCGGCTAGCTGGAGGTGAGATGAAGGGGAGAAAGTGAGAGGTGGGGTGAGATAAAAAGAGGGGGGGGGGCACTGGATTGGGATAAGATGTGATGTTTGGGAGAGGAGGGGTTGTAAAGGATGGAGGTAGAAGTTGGTGAAAAGAGTGAGGAAGGACTGGGAGACAGAGTGAATGCAAGAAAAAGAAAGAAGCGAAGGAAGGATTCAGGAATGAGAAGCTTATGAWTGAAAATCCACAGATATTCTAATAAAGGCAGCAACAGAAGTTGGGGTCCACCATACCAGACAGGACCCAAGATGCAGGCTGAGCAAAGACGCCCCTGAGACAGTCGAACACATTGTGACAGGATGTAAGATGCAGGCAGGCGAGGCATTCATGGAACCAGAACATCTGTACAGAGTACGAACTGGTGGTCCCAAAGGTAAAATAAGAGACTCGCATAAGGGCGGYAGGCATTAGCCAGGCTAAGACACCGTGGGACCAGATCCAGACTAACACAARTGTGATTCATCAGTTAGACATTGTGGTGGTCAACAATCTAAAGAAGGCAGTGATGATCAGGCCTGCCATGCAGGGGTGGAGCCAAGGGGTGGCCAGGGGGTGGCCATTGCCACCACAGAGAATTCTTTGGCCACCCCACTGGCTACCAGTGTTGTTTTTGTTAACAATGACGATGACAAAATATTTTTGTTGGCGCCCCCTTTTTTCATGACAATAACGAGACGGTAATGAAATAAACATAGTTCGATGACTAAGACGTGACGACAATTGTGTGAGTTTTCATTGACGAGACGAGACTGGACGAAAATATTAAGGTTTGTTTATACTTCATGCAAGACGTGCGGCTGCGGCCCAGCGATGACGTAATTGCGTGTGTGTCACCCACAGCATTCAGTGTTTATGCTGGGAAAAGACGTGGGGGATACATCATAGTAATCCCTCCCTCTGCCCTCCCACCGCAGTCACACACTAGCTTAGCATGTAAATAACTGCTAGCTGTTTAAAAAAAAACTTGCTAGTTGCGAGTTTAGCTTGTGCGGGAGATGCGGGAGATGGATGACGAAAAACACTTCTCCTATTTTCAAATGTCCGCTGCTCGTTTCGAGGAATTTGCCCAYCCGATCTTTTTTTTTCCCCCACTCAATCTCCCCTCACCTTCACCACGCAGCGACGCAATCACAGATGGTTGTACCTCCGGACCGCCTCCGCCTCGGTGAGGTTCTCTTCGAAATTATCCATGTATAGAAACAAAAAACGGCTTCTGGTAGCGAGTAGCGTGTAGCGGTGTCACACAACACAAAAATGCCCACAAACTTTGAACCAATCACACACTCCGCGCCGCATCTTCCGTGTCTCAGAGTGCTGACTGGGGGCAAAGTATAGGACAGCTGTCACCGGGGGATAGCAGCGGGAGTGCAGATGGAAGTTGCGCAACTTTTTTTCACTCAGCGGGTGGTAAAAGACGTGCGACAAGTATTAACCAGCCTTCAGTCGGTGGCCTGTCAATCATTTAGAATTCAGAGTGGAGGGAGGGACAGCAGCGCTGTTACACACTCGCACACACAACAACAGCACATACCTTTTCCTCCTGTTCTCTCAGCCTGCGCCACTTCGCAAAAAAAGAAAAAAGTCTGTCACCTGTAGCTTGCTTAACCAGGGTCCAGGAAGTAACGTCTCCGCCATTATTAAAAGCTGTTACAGATCCATTCTGAGCTCAGAA